CAAAAGGCAATTAGTAATGGAAAGCAATGGAACATGGAAAACAAGGAAAACGCATCTCCATAATACACGCTGGGTCAGACCCACACTGCTTGCTGTTGTCTGCAAAGAATATTCAGGATTCAAGCTCGAATGAACTTGAACTTTTTGAAAATTAGTTTTAAAACAATCTTTTAAAAAATATTCCCAGTAACAATGTTATTGTCATGGATAACGTGAGCTACCAAAGCCGTCTGCTACGCAATATTTGTTAGAAAATGATATTTATTTTAAATTTTGAATTTGAGCATACTGTTTTACGTCTTCCTCCATATCATTGCATGTTTAACCCCATAGAGCATTTGTAGAGCCAAGTAAAATTAAAGGTCAGTAAAGGTCAGAGCAGAAATGTTACTCCCAGTGTTATAAATTTGATAAAAAATGTAATTAATAACATACCAATTGACAGCTGCAAAAATTCAGTAGAGCACACTATAAAAATTAAGGACTCTTACATTTCTATACAAAACCACATGAATCTTATTATAATTAATCTCAGTGACCACTTGGATAGTGAAACAGAAATAGATGTAGACTGTATTTATGTATGTATAGATATTCCTAGCTATGAATTTATTGTATATATTTAATGTCATTGTTTTTTCTTAGTGTAATCTAATAAGATTCTACCCATATAAATAAACAAAAAATATATATTATTAACAAATTATTTTTGAGTTCCGCCAGGGGGCGCAATAAATAGCAAAATTTTATTTCTATTTTACTTAATTTGTAAATAGTAAATTAGCGTAGACGTAAAGGGGAATTGCTTCCCAAAATTCCTTTTTTTTGGTTTTACGTTATTTTATTTAAATTGTTTAACTATTTTCATTTTTTCCAGAAAATCGTTGTTTTTAATTATGTTATAAAACTTTGTCTCGCGACAAGGCAGTTATCGTAATTGCATCCCCCATTACACGATTGATAGCTTAGGAAAAGCCCTTTGTGAGAAGTTCATTAAAAAGCGTTAACTTTTAAGAAATCACCGGTATTTATTTTTGAAAATGTTCGAACACCCCCAGCACCTTCCTTTTTTCTACTCTCTACGTGAAGGTGAGCAAAATGTGACTTCAAATCATTAGTTAACGCAGTAACTTGTATATACCGTATACTTTGATCACGTCTTTGGGAACGATCGGATGTTTTCTCAGTGAGCGTAGTCGTGCTGTTTTACAAAAACGTCCTCAAAATCCAAAGTTTCTAAGAAAAATCTCGTATTCATTGGTAAACATTTGCAAAAACGTTTCGTGATGGAAATTTCAGAAGTTTTGTTCGAATATCGTCTCGCATAGTACGTACGACATCCGGTATAAATAGAGCTTTATCAAATCTCTAGCGGCCAGCGCTTCCCCTTTAATTCAAATTCGAAACTCTTGGAACTTCTTTGCGTCGCGTTTTTTTATTCCGCTTACCGTCGCAGCTGTTTCCGTTGTAACGAAAACCTTGGCGGCTTAATGCTTTCTTCACCTCCTTTTTGTTCGATGTTTTGCTTTGACTTTCACCCGAACACGTTGCGCCTAAATGTAAGTGTGGGCTACCTTTCAATTAACCAGTAAGACATCAAAATATATTATGTAATATATAACTCTCCCTACGAAAAACACAAAACTGAAGTCAACTATAAATAATGCTTCCTATTGATAAATATATCCAAATAATCCAATAAATCGATATATATATATATATATATATATATATATATATATATATATATATATATATATATATATATATATATATATATATATATATATATATATATATATATATATATATATATATATATATATATATATATATATATATTATTGGTTTATAAGTATTATGTATCACAGTGTTTCGGGCCTTCTCGTGTTGAGTATAGAATCTTCGAGTTCTTTGTCGCAGGGAGAGGTCCGTAGTCGAGAGTTCGTTGCAGATAGGGTGTTATGTTATTTGAAATTATCAACACCCTTCTAGTTTTGTTTTTTTTTTCAAAGAAACTTTGACGGGCTACTGTACGAGTTTTTACAAAACTGGATTCCTCCTGCGTAGACGTAAACTTCAAAGTTTCGCCAATCATCCTATTGGCTTCTTCAGAGCTTGACTGAAACTGGCTCGCATTTTACTCTGTACCTGCTTATATATTGTTTGAATGCGATGGAACTAAACGAGGGAGAGGGACATAAACATCTTCTCGGATAACTGATTCCCATATTGGTAAAGATCTGAGTCGCAGTTAAGATATCAGATATATTAAAATCCGAGAATCTGGAACCAAACCTCACCTTAATTGAAAAATGCTCTCATACATATTTTTCTTATAACGGTCAAATTTTTGAACAAATGTCGGGAACAGCTACGGGATGCTGCACTATCACCAGTTATCACGAATATATTTATGGATGGCTTTGAGAAAATAGCTCTCGAGACCTTCCATCTAAAACCAAAATTACTAACTAAAATTAAACCATTGGAAAAGAAACTAATACCACCCTCCTATCCTTAGATTTTCTTATCAATGGAAAATCAGACCTAACAGTTACAAAAAACCTAAGCAGACAGACCTTAAAATTATCTCAGCCCGAATCAGCTTACCTCTGATCTTCTCTATAATAATTACCACATTAAAGATATTAAGCTTTCCATCACAAAATGCACTTCACCACAATCTTCCAATAGCAATGAGACATAAAGCAATCCCACACACATATCAAAAGTTCTGACCTAACATTCGGTCATTGTGTTTACAGAAAACCTACGCACACATACCGATACCTTAATGCATTGTCACATCACCATCCGGCTAGGAAATCCTTGGTTATCAACTTTCTTGTTAACAGAGCTCTAAAACTATCTCAGAATTAAAACACCTTACCTCTGCTCTCTCTAATAATTACCAGATTAAGCGTTCTATCACAAAATACACTTCACCACAACCTTCCAATAGCAATGCCACACTTGCCATTGTTATCCTTCCTTATATTGAAAACATCACCGTCCACATATTAAAAGTTCTAAAGAAATATAACGTCCAAACCGGATTTACCACCTGTCCAAAAATCGGACATAAAATTTTATTTGATAAAACTAAAATTCTTGCATGGAATCAATTCTTCTTCTTCTCCAAGTGCCTATCCGTTCCGGATGTAGGCGATCAGCATGACTATTTTTACTTTGTTCATGGCGATTCGTTGTAGGGTTTGCTAAGATATTCTCCTTCGACCCGCTGCTCCCTTACTGTTAATGTTGTCTTGAAGGATTTGTTGTAATAAGCCAAATTTATCTGGGTTAAGCGGATCTTATCGATGCGACATCGCATTTCTTAAGAGTTGTCCCAGTTCTTGTTTATGCTTGTCCCCAAGTATGTGTACTGCTTTATTTTTTGTATTCTACTCTACTGGTTGATGTATAAATTGTCTTCAGTGGTGCCTCTTTTACTTACTACAAGGAGTTTGGTTTTGTTTATATTCATTTCTAACCCGTACTGTGAGCTAGCCTCAGTCACCCTATCCATTTGTAGTCCTTGAAGATTATCTGCAAACATTATAGTGTCATCCGCGTACCTTATGTTATTTAATTTAGCACCATTTATGATTATTCCTTCTGTGTATCCGCCGTCAACTCTTAAAACTGCCTTCTGGTTACAATACAAATTTGTAATTATGTTTAAATCTTTAGGATTCATTCCTATCTTCTTTAGTATGTCGACCATTTGATCATGTTGAACTCGGTCTAATGCTGGTAGTCTATCAAGCAAGCAAACACATCACAGCTGACTGAAAAAGCACTTGAACACTAAATAGGTCCTCTCTTGTGCCAACGGCATTCACAAATCGAAACTGATTTGGTGCAATCTGTTCTTTACAGTGTCTATATATTCTTGTGTGTATTATCTTAAGCAGACCAAGGAAGCAGTTTTAAATAGAGCAAGTGCCGTCCGTGAGTTATTTAACACAATCAAAATACGAAAAATATCGTACCTGGGGCATGTTCTTAGAGGGGACCGCTACAAAATCCTTCAACTTATAATGAAAGGCAAAATCGAAGGTCGCAGAGGTGTTGGAAGGAAACAAATGTCATGGCTAAAGAACATCCGCGATTGGACCGGAATACGCAGTGCCGAACAACTATTCAGATTAGCCGAAGACCGTGATCAATTCGCTAATGTGATTGCCAACGTTAGGGGGACCTGATATGGCACCGAAAGTAGAAGAAGATTATCTTAAGAAAAAATTTTTAGAGATGACTCATTAAACTTATTGTGCTAAAATCACCACAAGTTTTCGCACTTACTTTTTTGGGGAGTGTGATGAATTCTGACTTCAACTAGTCTGCTGGAATTTTTGAATAGATGTTGTTAAATATTCTAATCAACCATTTTGTTTTATACTCATTCAGTAGTTTTATGAATTCAGTCTGTATTTGGTCCAAACCAGCTGCTCTTGGTGGCTTCATTTCCGAGATGGCGGCTCTCACCTCATCCACCAGAATTTCCTTCAGTTCCTTGCGTGCATTATGGAATAAATTCTCCAGATATGTTTTCATAGTTTTTCCAGTGCTTTAGACTTGTTTTTCTGGAATTTCCCTGTTATTTCTCGGACATTCTTGTGAACATTGAAGCAGCATCAATTCTTCTACCAACGAAAAATCCAAGAGTCTATAGAAATCTATAAGCAACCTACAGACGGTGTCACTTAGCTCCGCCGCCGTCAAACAATATATAAGCAGCTACAGAGTAAAATGCGAGCCAGTTTCAGTCAAGCTCTGAAGAATCCAACAGGATGATTGGCGAAACGTTAGCAAGTTCGAGCCGACAAAAACCGACGCAGAAGGAATCCAGAAGTTTTGTAAAAAACAAACACCCTTCTAGCTTTTTCTAGGCGGTATCCAGCGTCTTAGATCGCATATTTGGAGCTCAATATTTCGGTCAAAACTCAGGAAAAAGAAAAGACACTCATTGAAGAATTTCTCTATTTATTCGTTTAGTTTTAGACAAATATATACCCGAACGGCACATTATTATACGCACAAACGCACACTCAGTCGCGGGAGTACTTCCTATATGCCCGGTAGAATTGCTCTAGGAATATGAAACTGAGCACGGTGTAAGGACCGATGCCCATGTAATAAGGGGTGAATCCCTTCCAGAAGGCCAGTATACCCTCGCTCTTAAAAATGCCCGTCACGATCGGGATGGGATTAGTTTGACCGCCGTTGATCCTCGCCATATTTTGGACCCTCGTCTTGACGATGTCGACGGGCAAACTGATGACGCTGGTGACGAAGCCTGCTATCATGGACGCGCAGAAATGGAGCAGGATGCCCTCGCGGAACTTTTCGGTTTCGAGGAGTAACTGTTTCGATTGTGTGTAGCTCGAAAGCTGAGCTCCGTTTACGACCTTTCGAGTATCATTGGGTTCGGTATACGGATCGTACAGGGCGGACACAATATTAGGGGCCTCAGAAAAAAATGGTTAAAAAAAAAGCTTATACAAAACTAGTTTTATGATTTAAATTAAATTTAAAAATTATTCATTTTTTACATATAAAGAACGAATTTTTAAAATATATATTTTCATATTTTTAGAATCCTTAGCAAAAAATAAAGGTAACTTTAATAGAAACTACTTATTCGAATTTTGTGTAGTTTAGACAGAAATTGAGATTACATTTTTTTTATGCAAAATTATGTTCTTAGTAAACACTTCTTTGGAAGACTTCCTTCTAACTATCTGCGATAACTAGGTATTTTAAAATTATACAGAGTGTTTCAAATTAGGGGACATTTTTTTAAAATTTCAACAATTTTTTTTGTAAATGAGTAGCCCATTTTTTTTATATTCATAACAACAGTAACTGTAACAATTAAAGTAAAAACTAAAGTAAAACAAAACGGAAAATCTACAGTAGGTTTTCAACATGTCCACCATTTTGAATAATGCACGTTGTATAAACAATCTCTGTATGGTTTATAGCAATACAAACAAAATCGATGTTATTTAGTTGGACTACAGCTTCTCTCAGTGTGTAGTTCATTTACCGTAGTGAGGTGAGTCCAGTGAGGTAAGATCTGGACTTCGCGGTGGCCACCAGATGTTTCCATTTTGTCGTATCCAAAGACCTTGCTGCCATATTAATTGAGCACGTTCACAAGCCGGTATTTCATTTACTATTAATGGTTGTATATTTTAATATCGTCTAGAGTTTAAGTTTTCATTAAAGAAAATTGGCCCCATAAGCCTTTATCGGTATATTCCACGCCACAGTTTCACAGGTCGTCTTACCTTGTTGTTTTATTTCCAACACCCTTTTCTTATTTTCATCACTGCAGTAATGTGTATTTTTCCCATTAAAAATGGGGGCTTTTCTATGACTCGTCTGTTCAAATTATATGACGCAAGGCGTTATCAGCAAAATGCGTGTCCATTAAAATATTGCAGTAGTGTAATCTTGCGCCAAGCTGAGGCTAGATCTTTTAACATCCGTGACGAGTAGTATAGTAGTAGTACATCCAACTGTTTCGCCCCTGTTAGAACTTGTCGTGGTCTTTTCTTGGACGTGGACAGAAGGCTACCATCCGCATTACAGGAAACTTTTTTTTTACTCTTACGAATTCGATAAAAAACATTCTGTTTTTTCTTGCACCGTATACATTTAATACTAATTTATACTTTGAATCATAACATCACTTAAAACAATTATAAACACTTTGGTTGATTACCACAGCCTACTAGGGTAAAAAGTAAGTTTCATAATAATATTATTAAAAAATGGGAGTTTTTTACTATTAACGAAACCTTTGTTTAAATATCCGAAATATTAATAAATTGTTTTATTATTCATTGAAACAATCATTAAAATTAAATAAAATATAAGAAAGATATGTCATTATAAAATTCTTTAAAATAATTAGGTGTTAGTATTTTTCAACAGCGAGTTCATTATAAAAATTTCGAAAACCATTATATTTAGGTATTAGACATATATATACCAAATTGTAGGTATTTTGATCCGCTTTGAGAAAAATATCAAAAACATGGGCATCTCGTTTAAAAAAATAAATAAATTCCGCAAGTTGAAATTTTAAAAAAATGTCCTTTAGTTTAAGACACCCTGTATAATTTTAAAACGCCTAGCCACCGCAGATCGTTAGAAGGAAAATGTGTTTAAAATTTGATCAAGTAGTCATTACTGCCAGCCGTGGAAGACTATAATAACACATACTAAGAACATAATTTTGCATAAAAAAATATATAATCCCAATTCGGCCAATTCGGGATTTTACCGCTCGGGTTTGGGAGCAATCGGATGTTTTCAGAGATATTTCCCAGTCCTTGAATTTTGACGTTTGTCAATTCTGACGGTCATGTCACTGAATGTATTTGCGTTGTTTTGGCGAAAATGTACCCAAAAACTAACGGTCGTAGAAAAAGTACAGTATGCAAAATGTTCGGTAAACTCACTCGTTTATTAAACACTCGCTCCGCTGCCCTCGTGAGTCAATAGTATATTATGCAACTAACCAAAACTAACCAAAACACGAATACATTCACTGACATGACTGTCAGAATTGACAAACGTCAAAATTCAAAGCGCTTCGAAAACATCCGATTGCTCCCAAACCCGTGCGGTAAATGACTCGGATTCGTGGGAAAAGAAAGTGACGTGGTAAAGCGACGCTTCCCGCACGCTAGATTGGCGCGTAATTAGGTATTTTACAAACAGGAGTCGAAAAACGGCATTTGACTCACGAGCGGAGCGAGTGTTTAATAAACAAGTGAGTTTAAAAGTTTTCTGAACGTGTTACATACTATACTTTTTCCATGACCGTTAGTTTTTGGGTACATTTTCGCAAAACACGAATACATTCACTGACATGACTGTCAGAATTGACAAACGTCAAAATTCAAAGCGTGGGGAATATCTTCGAAAACATCCGATTGCTCCCAAACCCGTGCGGTAAAATCCTGGAAATATCCGAAGTGGCTCGGATCCGTGGAAAATGAAACTGACGTGGCAAAGTGACGCTTCCCGCATGCTAGATCCGTGCGTAATTAGGTTACAGACGGGAGCAGAAAAATACCTTTTACCGCACTTGTACCATAATATATACTATTAAACCATAAAACTCGTGTATAAACTTTTTTCTCTAAAACGAGCAGTTCCTGCGAAAAGGTAAAGGCCCCTAATAAAGTACCCACCCTGTTCTCACCCTCAACTACGTAAAAAGTACACGGATTTGTCGGTGATAAGTAATGAGTTTGCACTTTAGACGTATCTCATGCCCAGCAACTTACCACGAACCTGGCCATCGTAGGCACCAATCCCCTCCACCAGGTCTTGATACCCTCCTCGCGTTTGATACGTATCAGGGCGTCGAAAACGTGCTTGTAATTCCTTCTCTTCTCCGGCGGCAATCGATTGTCCGACGTCATCCTGATCCATGTGACTTCCGCCGGTGTGCCGACGATAGCCCCGCATAATCCTGCCACCATTCCGAGCCCCACCTTAAGTGACAACCCGGGCGTTTGACCGTCGACGGTGAACACATCAAACAACCATGTAAACACGCCCAAACGGGTGGTGGTGTAGGTCGCTTGTCTGAACAAACCCGCGGTGAAGCCGTTGTACAAGGCGAGCAACCCTTCGTTCCTGATGATGTGGACCATGAGGTGAAAAGTGGTACGGTGCTCTTTGGTGCGAACTCCCAGGCCGCTCATCTGCATGCGGTTCTTCATAAGATCCAGCGGATGGACGAATAGGACCGCGCAGCACCCGGCTCCCCCTCCGAATAGAAATTTGTACGGGGTGGGGATACGTTTCTCCGGAGCGGCCATATCGGATAGGTCTCATTTGGGCAACTTTTGATATTGGTGCGCGAAACGAATACGTGAATTTGAAAAACAGTGACGGTGGCTGTCACATTCGTACAAGAGTCAAGATGTCGAATAATCTACTGGTGGTTTATTCAAATCGGTTGAGGTGATTATATTGAGATTCTTGAAGGTGACACAAAGCCACTTAAATTTGCTAGTACATTTTTCAACATTTGATGGTGAATATTCTTAACGCAGTATTTGAGGAATAACTTAAAGTTTGTGTTCTTTTTGTCGACATAATTTTCTCCTCTTTGTGTTAGGATCCTTAGGGCTTCTAACAAGGTTGCTTTCGAAAAATCGTCGCTGGGCGAGACAAGTTTGTCACAAGTAGCGCGAATCGGCTTTTTATTTTAAAAAGAAGGCGCTTCGCGGTTTCTTGTCCTAGAGAGACGCATTGTTTTTCTATCGTGCTCCTACGGACCACTATGGAACATTCGCAAAATCTATGTAATTGCATTGTGCATACACCCTGTATAAAGCGTCTTTTACGTATCAATGAACTTCAACTCTCTCTCTCTCCCTCTCTCTCTTTCTCCCTCTCTCCCTCTCTCTCTCCCTCTCTCTCTCCCTCTCTCTCTCCCTCTCTCTCTCCCTCTCTCTCTCCCTCTCTCTCTTCCTCTCTCTCTCTCCCACTCTTTCTCCCTCTCTCCCTCCCTCTCTCTCTCCCTCCCCTCTCTCTCTCCCACCCTCTCTCCCTCTCTGGAAAAATGCTGGAAATAGAGGCTATAGTCCTAAATCTGACCCGTTTCTTGGTCCGAGAATTTCTCCACTGGAGTAAATGGTTTTCGAGAAAATGTCTAGACTGAGTCCGAGGAATAGTGGTTTTTTATTGCATTTTTTAAAATATTTCCAGCAACATGTATGATAGATGAAAACCGTAAATACAAAAATTGTAGCTCTTGATGCGGTCTATAATACTGTTTATACCTGTTAGTCATATTTTCTAAAAAAATTTATTTACGGGTAATAATTTACTCTGGAAAACAACAATTTTCCGGGTCATTTATATTTTTGTCTAATTTGTATAATTGAAAAACCCTATCTATAATAAAAAAATTTCTGGAAATATAAGTTATAGTACTCGATCTTCCGCGTCTGCTGGTTAAAGAATTTTGCCGATCAGAATAATGGTTTTCCAGAAAATAATTTTCTTCTGTAAACCAAAATAACCCAAAAAAAAATCAAAATTTTTTAAAAAATACTTTGCGCTACTTGATCGCTGCCAACTTTAATGGTTTAAATGTGGGTCTAGACTTTTACTTCTCTGCAAAATCTGAAGTCGGTAGATGCAAATTTAGGGCACCTATTAAGTTTTATAATATTGCACGATATATCGCGAACACCCTGTACAATAGGTAAAAGCCTTAAATGCAAAAGTCTTAGCTGGCTACGCGAGCTATACTTCGGTGTAAAACAAATTGACTTTCTGATTCGTAGTCTTCTAGTTATGATAAATTTTCATTAAAAGAGAAACCAAATTTTCAGTTTTTTGCCAATACTGGCCACACCCGGTACATTTTTAAAAATTGTCAAGAATAAAAGTTTATAGAATTGGGTCTTGCGGATCTCTAGATCCATGCAAACGAGGTTTTTAATTTTTTAAAAATACTTCCCGACCCCCCAGCCCCCCCAATTTCAAATATAAAGTCGATAGCTTCAAACTTCTGACACTTATCGTGTTTCATAGCGATGTACGAAAAACAGTGGAAAATCGCGAAAAAAGATAGATATCATTTTCTGATCGCGGCCATTTCGATTCGATATTTCGAAAGTAACAGTGACCAATAAGCGAGAGAGAACCCAACCTCATAAGAGACCCGTTTAATTATATTACCGATGTGGCCAACAAAGGATAACTCCACTCCCAAATCTCTTATGGACTGCACAGACTGTAAAAGCTCATTATCTATAGAAGAGTTAAAATTACAGTGAGAACGCCGCCTACTAAACATTATAACTTTGCACTTGGAGGTATTAATCTCCATACCGTTGATATTGGAACATATGGAACTAAACTAAACACTAAAACATACATATATCGACACAAGCAACGACATTGACAAATAAATTAAGAAGAAATGGTCCAATGTGGGACCCTTGAGAAATTCCTGATGACATAATATGGCCAACTCTTTGCTTTGGACAAGAAATGTAATTAGAAGTAATATTTCATCAGGAATTTTTTCTGTTGTAAAACTTTATATTTGATATACGAGTTTCTACATATTTTTTGCCTAGATCCTCTAGAGAGTCGCTTTAGTCCTTGTAGACTTCTCCGTAAACCTATGCGAAGGCCTTTTCTTACATCCAACTCAATTGATGTCGCGGTGTATCTAATAGCTTCGAAAGTTCGTAATTGAGTGACGTCTAATGGAACGTGAGTAGGTAGAAAGTTCCTTTACTCGTCGTCAACGTTTGGTTATTACGTTTAATTACCGTTAAAAGCTTGGTCTATCCTCGTGGCGACGTTTTTGCTGCGAAATTCGACGCCATTTTATAATCCGAAAGAAGCGGGGCACGGGGGCACAATTTACTGCGTGTTCTTTCGACGCTTTAATCCTGTCGAATCAGTTACAGGTCAGCGGTTAAAATTCCAATCGCGATGTAAGGGACGCGCTCACTGGTGGAAATAAAAAAAGAGAAATTGATCTGTTCCGGCAGAAACCGAGTGCTAAGTGAGAGGAAAAGAGTATGAAGACTGGCGCTTACCATAAAGGCAAAGATTCCTTAGAAAAACATCAAAGACCTGAGGTGTTGGCTCGGTTGCCGACCAATAGATATCTTAGACATCGTTTAAATAATGGTTTCCAAATCGGATCACCAAGATCGGTGCCAATTTATTTCTATTTATACTTATGTCAACAAGTATTGGGTATTGTCAAAATTGAAATGAAACAAATTAAGCACATATACATCGACATTGACTATTATCACAGTCAAAAAAACTCATTTAAGATACAAGGGGCATGACTTTGACTATCTTTTACTTTTTTATTTGCACAGCATAGCCCCTTCATTGAATTAGATAATAATATATTATATAAAAAGTGCGGTAAACGGCATTTGATTCACAAGTTTATTTGCGGAGCGAGTGTTTAATAAACGAGTGACTTAAAAAGTTTACCGAACGTGTTGCATACTATACTTTTTCTTTTACTTTTTGGGTACATTTTCGCAAAACAACACGAATACATTCACTGACATGACCGTCAAAAATGATAAATGTCAAAATTCAAACTCAAATCTCCGAAAACATCCGATTGCTCCCAAACCCGTGCGGTAAAATCCCGGAAATGTCCGAAGTGGCTCGGACCCGTGGGAAACGAAACTGACGTCGTAAAGCGACGCTTACCGCACGCTAGATCGGTGTGTAATTAGGCATTTTGCAGACAAGAGTAGGAAATTAGTATTTTATGCAACAAGTGCGGTAAACGGCTTTTGATTCACGAGTTTATTGGATACGAGCGGACCGAGTGTTTAAAAAAAGTTTTCCGAACATGTTACTAATTCTTGCAATCTGAAAAACTAACAAGATTTACAGCAATATCCTCAATTTTGAATTTTGAATTTTTGACTAATAAATTAAACAGAACTAATCTGATCAAATATATCCAAAAAAAAAAACAATAATAATAGTAACAAAAGTAATAAGCATAAAATATCAAATTTCAAAGTGTCAAAAACAATTGGAGCTTTTGCAGGGCATTAATTACACCAAAGGACAGACAGTAAAGAGTGATTACGGCGTATGATAGATGAAAATAGCTATCGAAAACCGCACCAGAGCAAAGAGTTGTTTCTGCCCGCAAATTAGAAGCAAAAGATACGTGCAGGTATTTTAAAAGCGGCCACTCAACAATTAATATCAAATAAAGATAAAAATGACCACTTCAAAGCGTCAATCTTGCCTGGTTTTCTTTTAACCAAGTAAGTCAACCACAGTAATTCTAGCAACGTGCCCAGAAATTTGCCTCCAGGTAAATCACAGCAACGGTAAGATATGGCTTTTTCTTGGCTATACGATAAAATAGGACTGGCAGTATCAGCGTTCGATTATAAATTTTAAAGAAAAAATGAAGCGAGAAAATAACAATAATAGATTTCGGTACGAAAAACGAAACTGTACCGAGATTGGCAACGAAAGAAAATCAAAGAGATATATACGCCAGCAGAAGGCCACGCGCGATAAGATTATGACGGATATAAAACTGCAGCCGATATGTCAACAATGGCTACCTAAGAATTGCAACGCAAAAAGGGATTATCTATCAAGTCCTGAAAACTACTAAACAATCTATAGTTTACAACAAAACCAGAAATAGATATTAAATCAGATATTAATCTCGTCACCTTGCATAAAATCCCACGCAGCTGCTACCAAATTGCTAGTTGAACGTTCTTCGAAGAGAACAGGAAAGAAAAAAGAACTAGCGAAACGACATGCGTTGCGGATTTTAAATATCGATGAAAATTTTATAATTGACTAACCGCGTAGCGCAAACAAAACCAAATTTTTCATCAAAGTTATTGCATCGAGGATTGAAAATCGGCCAGCTTCTTATATTACTTGTTAGTAAAATTGTTTGTTCACTGATCAGAGAACGAGAGAAAGAGAGAGAGAGGGAGAAAGAAAATGCGATAGGCTCTCGGCTGGCACGACTGCTGTGGTCATTCACCGACATTTATAACCTGGAGGGTGGCTTAATAAAAAGGGACTGGACGGACCCGTCACCCTCCGAGGGGAACGGAAACGAAAATTGTGAACGTTATTCAAAAATCCGGCCTCTATACCGGCGTGAACTGGAAAAAACAGCTGGGCCGACACCTTTAAAACATTCACTAAACACTAAATACACTCAGTGGGAACCGATTTCAAAACTTTTGGGAACGATTACACGGGATTCTGTCGGGAGCGAACGGAGGTTAAACCGCCAGGAAAAACTGATCATCAGTCAGTCAGTTCCAATTCAAATGTCGATTAAGACGCAATTTGTCGTCGATGTTAATCGCTAGACATTAACGAACGAGTCGGCGAAAACTCTG